CAGAGTTTTCCTCACTTCAGCTACGTCCAGGTTTAGTGCCTCCTCCTGGTGTGGAACAGCTTTCACTGCTGGAGGCTGTTTAGTGCCTCAAACCTTCCAAAGAAGTTGTTCAGGTCATTTAGGTAACACTGACTTCCTAAATGAAATGAAAAACTTCTTTGGAAGGTTTGAGGCACTAAACAGCCTCCAGCAGTGAAAGCTGTTCCACACCAGGAGGAGGCACTAAACCTGGACGTAGCTGAAGTGAGGAAAACTCTGATGAGAGTCAACCCAATGAAGGCCCCAGGGCCTGATAACATACCTGGGCGGCTGTATAAGGAGTATGTAGATCAGCTGGCTGGTGTCCTCACATTTTTAACACCTCGCTGGACCGATCCTTAGTGCCAGCATGCTTAAAGTCTGCCACTATCATTCCAGTCCCAAAGAAGCCTCAGGTCACCTCACTAAATGATTACCAGCTTGTCGCACTGACTCCAATCATGATGAAGTGCTTCCAAAGGCTGGGTAAAGAACACATCGTCTCCAGTCTGCCGCCAACTTTCGGCCCGTTCCAGTTCGCCCACCGACGGAACCGCTCCACTGAGGACGCCATCTCTGCTGCTCTCCACCTGAGCCTGGCACACCTGGAGGAGAAGAACAACCCCATGCGGATGCTGTTCCTGGACATCAGTTCAGCTTTCAGCACCATCATCCCACAGCATCTGATGGGCAAACTGGAACAGCTGGGCTTCAATACAGCCCTCCGCAATCGGCTAATTGATTTCCTCACCTACAGACCTTAGTCCATCCGGGTCAGACAGAACACCTCTGATGTCATCATCCTAAGCACAGGCTTCCCTCAGGGCTGCGTCCTGAGCCCCCTGCTGTTGATGACGTCATAAACATGCCGCTTTGTTTTAAAAAAATACAAATATAAAAAATATAACTGCGGATGTCTGGGGGACATGTTCTGAATGCTGGCATACCATAAAGAATAAATTATGAACAGTTTAGTTTGTGCCTTCAAGTCGTTGCTCATAGGAAGACGTTACTTGGATATAACCTAACGTAATATCTTCAGAACAGCTCCAAATTACACAAAACTCATATCGGTGAGTAGAACATGATGTGATAACGTAAAATCAAGGGCCCAATGTGAAATGGTTTGGCTGTCATTTAAGGAGAGATTCTAATATATCGGCAGTGTTGGGGACTATAAATCCGATACGGTACTGCTGTTGAAATTCCTCGAAAATGCTTACAGCCCCCAGAATAACAGTGAGAAGTGATGGAGAGTTATTGTCACTGGATGATTTAAATAATAAATATAATGCCTAATTCTCATCCTATGAATATAGAAAAATTATAAATTTTATATCACAAAAAACATTGATGAATTTAGTTTAAGGTCACCTTAGTACATTCCAGTTCCTAAACTTAAAAATACCTTTATTGAAGGATTTAATACATGAATAATGCAAAAACAGCTTTTTTTTTAAAAGCGTCAACAAATATCTTATATCACAATCCAAACTTTTCCTTTTAAAATAATTCTCCAAACTTTATATCCGTGCATTGAGAAGCAAATATCTTAAACCTTTTTTTCCACCTAAATACAAAGAGATTAATCTAAAAAAATTGTATTACATTTTTCCTTCCAGCCGTTTCATATGCTCCAAATTTAAATTCAAAGTAGAAGAAAGTCTTCTATGTAAGCAAGAGGAGGAATGAACTGAATCGTTTTTTTTTTATTGTAGTAAAACCCAAATATTTTTATCTTCATTTCATAATTTTACTCTTTAAATCCTTAAACATATTATT